ACTTATAGCAACCCTATATGGCAAAGGAGAACTGCTCCATTAGGTTTCTAAGGTTGTACTCTTTATGGAAGCAGACTGCCACATCTTTCTCCCATGGAAGGGCTGGTGAGTTCAAACTGCCAATGATTTGGTTAGCAGCTGAGAGCTTAACCACTGAGCCACCAAGCTTCCTTAAGAGGTGAGAAAAACCAAAAAAAATTCCAAACTCACTGCTGTTGAGTCGGATCTGACTCACAGTGACCCCTCCCTGGGTTTCCAAGGCGGTAGGTATCTCTATGGAAGTAGATTGCCCAATCTTCTTTCCAAGTAGTGGCTGGTGCATTTGAACCGCCATCCTTCTGGTTAGCAGTTAAATGCCTTAGGCATTATGCTCCTAAGAGAAGCTCCCTTTAATTCCTAAAATTATAAATTAGTTTTGAAGTAACAAGGACCAAAATTAATCTTTATGCTCTTGTATTTTCAAAAGGTATTTCTAAGGAAGATGATAATGATTTATTACTAAGCTTTAGCTTGAGGATAGAAAAATAAGTATTGATTACCTTACTCTGTCCCAAGTGTTTCATTTACATTTTATCTCTCATCAACACAACAATCTTTAAAACAGGCAAAAGAAATCTCACCTTAAAGATGAAGAAAAAAGTGTGGCAGGAGTCTAAGGTCACAGAGTGGGAAGCTATGGAGCCAGGATTTGAATGCAGGGCTACCTCCAAAGCCTGTGCACTTGCAGCCCCACCACATCTCATGCGGGTCACAGGCTAAGAATTTTACTGATCATTATGCTGCCTTTTGCTTCAGAAACCAACTGAAGATTATTTAAATGTCTGCTTACTTTCATTCCTATGTTTTAATGAGAATAGTAACTAATTCTACTAAAATGAACATGGATGATTTTCTTTTAACTCAGGTTTTAGCTTCAATATCACTTCCATAGAGAGGCCTTTTCTGATCCCTTTATCCAAGGTAGAACCTTATCCTCTCCATATTCCCTCCTCCTCATAGCCCATATATTGGCCAGGGAAAACCTTATGAATAGTAGAGAAACACTGTCTGATACATTACTGGGCAACTTTAGGAATAGCTTGGAAACACTGTCCAACAGCGCAGGAAGATGAGCCCCTTGAGTCAGAAGGCACTCAAAATAGGACTGGGGAAGAGCTGCCTCTTCAGAGTAGAACCAACCTTGATATGGATAAAGTAAGTCTTTCAGGACCTCCATGTGCTGATGTGGCATGACTCAAATTGAGGAGAAAAAGCTGAAAACATCCATTAATAATCGTGACATGGAATATATGAAGTATGAATCTAGGAAAATGGGAAGCTGTAAAAAATGAAATGGAACTCATAAAGATTGATATCCTAGGCATTAGTGAGCTGAAAAAGACTGGTTTTGGGCATTTTGAATCAGACAATCATATGATCTACTATACTTGGAATGACAAACTGAAGAGGAATGGCGTGGCATTCATCATGACAAAGAATGTTTCAAGATCTGTCCTGAAGTACAATGTTGTCAGTGATAAGATAATATCCATATGTCTACAAGGAAGACCCATTAATACTACTAACATTCAAATTTACGCACCAACCACCAAAGCCAAAGAGGAGGAAACTGAAGATTTTTATCAACTTCTGCAGTCTGAAATTAACCAAACATGCAATCAAGATGTGTTGCTTATCACTGGTGACTGGAATGCAAAAGTTGGAAACAAAGAAGAATCACCAGTAGTTGGAAAATTTGGCCTTGTTGTTGTTGTTGTTGTTTGCCGTCGAGTCGGCCCCGACTCATAGCGACCCCTCCTTGGGTTTCCGAGGCAGTATCACTATGGAAGTAGGATTGCCCAACCTTCCTTCCGAGGAGTGGCTGGTGGGTTTGAACCGCCAGCCTTCTGGTGAGCAGTCAAGTGCCTTTGCCACTATGCTACCAGAGCTCCCTCATTTGGCCTTGGAGACAGAAATAATGTTGGAGATTGCATGACATAATTTTGCAAGACCAATGACTTATTCATTGCAAATACCTTTTTTCAACAGCACAAATGGCAGCTATATATGTAGACTTTGCCAGATGGTGTACACAGGAATCAGAATGACTACATCTGTGGCAAGAGGAGATGGAAAAGCTCAATATCTTCAGCCAAAACTAGGCCAGGAGCTTTCAGTAGAACAGACCATCAATTGCTCATATGCAAGTTCAAGTTGAAGCTGAAGACAATTAAAACAAGTCCATGAGAGCCAAAATATGACCTTGAATATATCCCTCCTGAGTTTAAAGACCACCTAAACAACAGATCTGAAGCACTGAACACCAATGACCAAAAACCAGAAGAACTGTGGGATGACATCAAGAGCAACATCCATGAAGAAAGGAAGAGGTCATTAAAAAGACGAGAAAGAGAGAAAGGACCAAAATGCATGTCACAAGAGACTCTGAAACCTGCCCTCAAACTAAGAGTAGCTAAAGCTAATGGAAGAAATGACAAGATAAAAGAGCTGAACAGAAGATTTCAAAGAGCAGCTAGAGCAGACAGAGCCAATTACTATAATGAAATGTGCAAAGACCTGGCGTTAAAAAACCAAAAGGGAAGAACACGCTTGGCATCTCTCAAGCTGAAATAACTGAGGAAAAAAATTAAGCCTTGAGTTGCAATACTGAACGATTCTATGGGCAAAATATTGAATCATGCAGGAAGCATCAAAAGAAGATGGAAGTAATACACATAGTCACTATACCAAAAAGAACTGGTCAATCTTCATCTATTTTAGGAGGTGGCATATGATCAAGAACCAATGGTACTGAAGGAAGAAGTCGAAGCTGCACTGAAACAACTGGCGAAGAACCAGGCTCCAGGAATTGATGGAACACCCACTGAGATGTTTCAACAAATGGATGCCCCACTGGAGGCACTCACTTGGTTATGCCAACAGATTTAGAAGACAGCTACCTGGCCAACTGACTGGAAAAGATCCATATTTGTACCCATTCCAAAGAAAGGTGATCCCACAGAATGTGGAAATTATCAAACAATATCATTAATATTGCATACAAGGAAAATCTTACAGAAGATATTTCAAAAACGGTTGCAGCAGTATATTGACAGAGAACTTCCAGAAATACAAGCTGGATTCCGAAGAGAATGTGGGGCAAGGGATGTCATAGCTAATGTCAGGTGGATCTTGGCTCAAAGCAAAGAATACCAGAAAGATGTTTACTTGTGTTTTACTGACTATACAAAAGCATTTGATTGTGTGGATCATAACAAATTATGGATAACATTCAGAAGAATGGGAATTCCAGAACACTTAATTGTACCCATAAGGAACGTGTACACAGACCAGGAGGCTGTCATTCGAACAGAAAAAGGGAACACTATATGGTTTAAAATCAACAAGGGAGTGCATCAGGGTTGTATCCTTTCACCATACTTATTCAATCAGTATGCTAAGCAAATAATCTGAGAAGCTGGACTATATGAAGAAAAACATGGCATCAGGATTGGAGGAAGAATAATTAACAACCTGCGATACGCTGACAACACAACTTTGCTTGCTAAAAGTGAGGATGACTTGAAGCACTTACTGATGAAGACTAAAGAATACAGTCTGCAGTATGGATTACATCTCAATATAAAGAAAACAAAAATCCTCAAAGCTGGACCTATACGCAGCATTATGATAAATGGAGAAAAGACTGAAATTGTCAAAGACTTCATATTGCTTGGTTCTACAATCAACGCCAATGGAAGCAGCAGTGCAGACATCAGACGACGTATAGCACTGGGCAAATAGGCTGCAAAGGACCTCTTTCGAGTGCTGAAGAGCAAAGATGTCTCCTTGAGGACTAAGGTGTGCATGACACAACCCATGGTATTTTCAATCGCCTCTTATGCATGTGAGAGGTGGACAATGAATAAGGAAGACTGAAGAAGAATTGATGCTTTTGAGCTGTGGTGTTGGTGAAGAATGCTGAAAGTACCATGGACTGCTAAAAGAACTTTCTGTCCTGGAGGAAGTGCAGCCAGAATGCTCTTTGGAGGTAAGAATGGACAGACTTTGTCTCACATACTTTGGTCATGAGTTGAGCCTGAAATTAAATTATGATGGAAAAGAGGTTTTTCCTGCACATTGCAGTGGCCATCCTGACAGCATAAATACTTTCTGCACTTCCAAACACTTCATGTCAGCCATTCAGGCACTTGGAGTCACAGGGAGACCTCAGAACTTACGTACTCTCATGTCCCCGCTCATTAATTTCTTCTTGGAGATTCAAAATACTGGTGAGATTAATAATCCTTCTCCGGGGGGTACAGGCTGCTGTCATTTCCTTTTGCGAACCATCTTCCACCATTTCTACATCAGAGTCTTCCCGAAGTCTTTTTCTGCAATGAAGAAAAGAAACCAGCAGGCCACTACTTTTCAATTTTGTATGTATGTGTGTGTTATATAATAGAGAAGGTAACAGCTTCTCTGTGATGGCTCTGCACATCTGCAGAAGGATCCCTGTGCTGATGGTCGACTAGCGAGATCAGGTTGTTCTTCCAAACACTACTTTTTTGATAACCCTCAAACCTCTGCAGCTGGCCATGCAGCTGCACATAGCAGAACTTGGGAGTATAGACACAGGGCCTTGGGCAACTCAACTGACTTTGCCAAGTCTCATTCATTCCTTTTTCCATCTAATCATCCATCAGGCATTGTTATGTAACAATTACATAGAGCAATAACTGGGACAAAGTGCCTACCCACATGGTGCTTAATTTTCAGTAAGGGAGTCAAACAGCAAAGAAAAGCGCCAATTTCATATAGTGAGAAAGTGATATGAAGAAAATAAAACAAGGTAATGTATTAGAATGACAGGGAGAAGTGGGAATTTTTAGACTAAATGGACAAAGAAGGCCTCTGGCAAGATGCAACCTTTCAACTGAGACCTGAGGGACAAGAAGTCAGAGCATTCCTAGACCAAGGAAACAGCAAGGGCAAGGCAGGGATAAGCACAGTCAGTTGAGGAACAGCCATGAGACCAGTGTGGCTGTGAGAGGGAAGTGGTAGGCTGGAGGGAGGGCAAGGTGCAGGACTCAGTTTTATCCCAAGTGCCATGGAAACCCACTGAAAGGTTTTCAGCAAAGGAGTGACACAGTGTGATTTCTAGTTTTAAAAGATTTCTGTGACTGCTGCTGGCAAATCATTTGAGGGATTCATTCGACAAGTGATAAAAACAAGCATAACACTTACTGTGATGGGCTGTTAACAGCATCAAATAAGATAATTATATGAAGTACCTGGCACATAGTAGCTACTCAATAAACATCAGTTTCTTTTATCATTCCTTAGAAAAAGTCCTTAAAGGCCATCTAGATAGACTGACTCAAATGAGCAAACTGGAATGCAGAGAGGTTAGGCAACTCATCCAAATTCAAATGGCCAATTAGTGCCAGGGATTTGGTACTCAGCAACCAAGAAGATGTGCAACTTTGGCCAACTGCCTTAGCCCTGAGCTCCAGGCTCGGTACCTGTCCACAATGAGAAAAGAATACCCATCTTACAGATTTCAGTGCTTTAACAGCTATAGAGTACCTTCAAAGTGCACACTGGAAATTCTCAAAATCAAATGACAGGCTTTACTATTACTGTTCCTGCTCCCTTTCTCCAGCTATCATTCACCACTGGCTCAAGTGCTTCAGGGAGTTTTATAAACAACTGGATTGAAAAAGAGTGTTTCTTCTGTAAAGAGCCAAAGGATGAAAGAGGACATCCTGGAGATTTCAGGCTTCTCTCTTTAAAAGCAATGCAAGGGATCTCTGGTGGCCTAGTGCCTAAGGTATCTAACTGCTAACCAGAAGGCTGGCAGTTCAAACCCACCAGCCATTCCTCAGAAGGAAGGTTGGGCAATCTACTTCCATAGTGATGCCATCTGAGAAACCCAAGGAGGGATCGCTAAGAGTTGGATCTGACTCCACAGCAGTGCGTTGCGTTATTTGTGTTGGTGTTAGGGCTTTATCAAAATCCTTTACTGAAAGTAAAGGCTCAATCTTCTGATGAATTTAACTAATGCTTGGAATTATGGATATTTAAGATATTTCAAAGGAGATTATGGTATGTGACTCTCAAAGCCATGGTCAAGGGCAGACGGTGGACAATGCCACATCATTGCCCTAATGGAGGCAGAGGACAAGTCAGGCAGAGAAAAGACACAAGTGGTTCATGCAAAGCAAAAGGCGGAAGTTTTATTAAAGAACAAAGGAAGCAAGTTACACTTTTCCCAAAGAGTCATACCTGGGGTTGGCTGGACTAGAAGTAGGCCCTCTCTTCTCCGATGTTTCCGAAGTCCCCTTTGTAACTTCCCTCTCCATGTCCTGATTGTCGGCAGCCACCTCAGCAGGGGCTGGGAGTTCGAGCATCTCCTCATCTTGCTGCCTAGTGTTGCCACTAGAATCATCTGTGCTATCTTTTGGGACCATGGGCTGGGGCTGGCAGGACAGAGCCTTGTTCACAGGCTGCAGAAAGGCATCAAGTTTCTGTTCTCGGGAATCTGTACGGACCATTTGGTGGGCATAGACCTTGTCTCCACTTCCAGAAGCAGAAGAGGGGGTCACACCCATTGTGGACTTAACTATTTCCACAGAGGTACCAGAAAGTCCTGGTAGCAAAGTCTGTATATAAAAAGAAAATAGTAGAGAGATTCAGTATATGAATAGATGTCCAGGTCCCAAAATGGAGTATTAGAGGAGAAAGCTAGAGCTACTAAAATGTCCATTAGTTAAGATGACAAGAGAAATTCTGCCCAAAATTTAGAGTGTAAAATAAAACATGTAAGTATAGAAAGTAGGGAGATGGGGTAAACAGACCATCATTCCAACCCTCCCCCACAAATACAATAAATACACACAAGCCTCAGACAGCAGCAGTCCTCAGCACCAGTCCTCAGCACCAATTGTAAGGGGAGTAACAGACCCAAACTGAATCCCAGATTGGACTGCCGGTGGTTGCAGAGGACTGAGCTATGCAACGCACAGGGAGGCAGGGACAGTTCTGACTATGCAGACTCTACTGCAGGGACCATCTAGAGCAATTTGCAACAGTTTATTGTTGTTGTTATGTGCCGTAGAGTCAGACCCAACTCATGGCGACCCCTCCTTGGGTTTCTGAGGAAGTATCACTACAGAAGTAGATTGCCCAACCTTCCTTCCGAGGAGTGGCTGGTGGGTTTGAACTGATAGCCTTCTGGTTAGCAGTCAAGTGCCTCAGGCACTATGCTACCAGGGCTCCTTGCAATAGCTTAGCAATCAATAATTACCAGGTCAGGGAGACAGTGTCATGCTCTGGTCAGATTCCCCAGTTTTTAGCAGAAAATAGTATGGGCAAAAATAGCAAATACAAGAGATAACTAAGAAAGTTAAAACCCTCAAAAATTCAATGGCCCAACAAAAAATCACAATACACACACACAAAGAACAGAGAAATAATGGCCCATTCAAATGAACATGACAAAAGGAGTAAAAGTGAATCTAAGGATGACCAAATAATGAAAAAAATGGAAGACTATAATTCAACATTAAACATACTTCAAGAACTATGGAAAAAGAAAGGCAAAGAGCTAAAACTAATTAGGAAAACAATGCATGAATAAAATGAGGATCTATAAAAAGAGATATTGCAATTGAAAGGGACAGTAACTCAAATGAGAAACAACAGAAGGATCTACCAACAGACATAATCAGGCAGAAGAGTCAGTGAATTAGAGGATAAAATAGTCAAAATTCAGATGCTGAAAAGCAGAAAGAACAGAGGCTCAAGAAGGCTGATCACAATTAAATGTAATTACAGGACATCAAAAAGAGACCTACTATAAATAACACATCATGGGAATTCCAGAAGGAGAGAGAGAAAGGTACAAAAAGAATATTTGAAGAAATAAAAACATCAAACCCACTGCTATCAAGTTGATTTTGACTCATAGCAACCCCAGAGGACAGAGTCAAACTACCTCATAGGGCTTCCATGGCTGTCAATCTTTACAGAGAAGCAGACTCCCTCATCTTTCTCCCACAAAGAAGCTGGTTGAAAAAATGAGAAGACAGAAAATGTCCCCAATCTATGAAGGACATGAATCTATAAATCCAAGAAACCCAAAGAACCCCATACAAGAAAAACCCAAAGAGATCTACACTAAGATCTATCATGATTATGTTCTCAAAAATTAAAGTGAGAATCCTGAAAACAGTGAAAGAGAACCAAACAATCACAAACAAAGCATCCCCAATAAGATTAAGTGCTGATTTCTCCTCAGCACTGGAGGCCAGAAGACAATGTAATGATATATGTAAAGTACTGGGGGAAAAAAAAAACCCTGCCAATCAAGAATACCTTACCCAACAAAACCATCATTCAAGAATGATGGTGAAATTAAAGCATTCCCAGACAAACGGAAGCTGAAAGTTCATATCCACAAGAATGACCCTACAAAAGAAAATTAATAGGAGTTCTATAGGGAAGGGAAAAGACACTGAAAGTAGTTCAAAGCTATACATAAAAAGAAAGATCCCTAATAAAGGAAAATGCATGTACAAGTATAAAGGCTAGTTATGAGGTATTCCATGTCAGATAATTCTAAATGTTTTCTCCTTCACCTTTTTTCCTTTCTTTTTAATTGTGATTTGGTTGTAAGTTTACAGAGTAAATTCATTTTCCATACAACAGTTCAAATACATTTTGTTTAATGACATTGATTGCTATCCCACCTTCCTCCTGTGGTTACTTCTTATCTGTGTCCTTCTCTCCTATGCATTCTGCCCTCTAAGCTCTCTCTCTGTATAAATACTGCCCTTCTGATCTATCGTGGTTGATCATTCTAAGGAGTACACCAACCTGGTGTTAATGTTCACCTTATACACCTGTCTACTGTTTGGCTGGAAGCCACAGAAGTGAGTTCAATTCTAGGCACAAAGGGTGACTAGGGGCCATAGTCTCAAGGGTTTCACCAGTTTCTATCAGACCAGTAAGTCTGGTCTTTATGATTTCACATTTTGTTCCACAATTTACTCCCACTCTATCCAGGATCTCCTATTTTGGTCCCTTTCAGAGTGACTGACAGTGGCAGCTGGGCACCATCTAGTTCTTCTGATTTGAGAGTCATCTAGGCTGAGGTTCACACGATCTACTAGTCCCTTGGGCTAATTGTTTCCATGTGTCTTTGGTTTTCTTCATCTTAGATAGCTGCCTGCAAGCGTTTAAGACCTTAGTCACTACTCACCAAAGTTGGATGTAGAACATGGTCTTGAGCCTGTGGGCCCATACATCCCTCAGGATGTATGGCTGTGGCTAAGAAGTTATCATCACTTTACCTGATTAACTTTATTATATATATATAGGTATTTTTATAACACATATAAATACATATATAGAAATACCATCTGTCAAACTTATATATGATCATGGGTAATTCCCTTTTATGCAGACATACTTGATCATTTACCAATATATCCACCTGTAGATTAATGTTTGTTATTACTGATAATGCAGTATTATATATGTAAAAGTGTATACTTTTTCAATAACAAATCTATAAAAATCAAGGATAAAATTATGTCACAGGATACAAGAATTATAAACACATAATTAGTAATAACAACAACAAAAGGGGAGTAGAGAAAGGTATACAGAATTTCTTGTTACTGAAGTTGGTATCAACTTACCCTAGAATGTTATAAAAACAAGCCATTAAATGCAATATTCATGGTAATCACTAAGAAAATATACAAAAAGCATACACAAATGGAAAAGAGACAGGAACCTAAAAGGCTTAGGACAATAAACTAACAATACACAAAAGCAAGCAGTAGTAAAAGACAAGCAAGGCTCAAAACACGCAAAAAAACAACAATAAAATGTCAGAAGTAAGACACGTCTTATCAGTAATTACAGTGAATGTAAACGGACTAAATGCTACAATCAAAAGGCAGAAAGTGGCAGAATGGATTTAAAAAAAAAAAAAACCATGATCCAACATATGCTGTTTAAAAGAGACACATCTTAAACCAAGACCATAAAGAAGTTCAAAGTAGAACAATGGAAAAAATCATTCTATGCAAATAATGACCAAAAGAGAGTTGGGGTGGCCATCTTAATATCAGACAAAGTAGACTTTGATACAAAATGTGTCAGAAGAGATAAAGATGGCATAAAAGGATCAATTAATCAAGACGATATAATGATCACAAATATATACGCATTCAACATCAGAGCACCTAAATACAGGAAGCAAACACAGAGCTGAAGGGAGAAATGGACAGTAGTGCTACAGTAATAGTTGGAGACTTCAATACACCACTTTCATTATTGGACAGAACATCTAGAAAGAAGATCAACAAAGAAACAGAGAACTTGCATGACAGTATAAACCAATTAGAATTAAAAGACACAGTATACATTCTACTCCAGGGCACATGGGTCATTCTGCAGGACAGAACACATATTGGGTCACAAAGCAAGGCCTTGATAAATTGTAAAAGACTGAAATCATATAAAGGATTTCCTCTGAAGGAAGACTTATTAATAACCTGCAGTATGCCGATAACACAACCTTGCTTGCTAAAGCAACATGAAGCACTTACTGATGAAGATAAAAGACTACATCTTTCAGTATGGATTACATCTCAACATGAACAAAAATCCTCACAACTGGACCAATAAGCAACATCATGATACATGGAGAAAGATTGAAATTGTCAACAATTTCATTTTACTTGGATCTATAATCAACACCCATGGAAGCAACAGTCAGATATCAAATGACATACTGCATTTGGTAAATCTCCTGCAAAAGACCTCTTTAAAGAGCTAAAGAGCAAAAATGTCACTGTGAAGACTAAGGTGTGCCTGACCCAAACCATGGTATTTTCAACAGCCTCATATGCACGTAAGAGTTGGACAATGAATAAAGAAGACCACAGAAAAATGGATGCATTTGAATTGTGATGTTGGTGAAGAATACTGAATATACTATGGACTGCTGGAAGAATAAACACACCTGTCTTGGAAGAAATATAGCTAGAATCCTCGTTGGAAGTAAGGATGGCTTCTAAGGGAGAATGACTTCATCTCACCTATGTGGGTCATGTTGTTAGAAGAGACTAATCTCTGGAGAAGAATTATTGTTTTTGTACTCTAGTGCCACTCTAACAGAAAAGTACCACAAATGCAATGGCTTTAACAATCAGGCGTCTATTCTCCCCCAGTTTTGGAGGCTAGAAGTCTGAGTTCAAAATGCCAGGCCCTAGACCTCGGGCTTCAGCTCTGCCTCTTGCTCCAATGTCAACATGTAAAAAGCACAGTTGTGAATATTACCAAACCGCATGGCAGGCCACTGATTCAAGTCTATTAAGAGTCCCAAGACTGGCAGACAATATGGCAGGCTGCTGAACAACGACTTGGCTACATGCAGGATTTAAGTGTGCCAAAAGCTACAGACCATTCCCAAAGCTTCTCCTTATATACTGCCACAATCCTACAGCAGCTACTCAGCTGCTCACAGTCGATTCCATCATGGAGTTGATTACCAGTCTCATCACAGAGAATACTATATCCAGCTGCCCACCCACCAAAACCAGGCCCAGCCAAGTTGACACATAACCTTAACTACCATGGATATCATGCTTGGTCAAACAGAGGGTCAATGAAAAAGCAGAAGACCCTCAACAAGATGGACTGACACAATGGCTGCAATGATGGGCTCAAGCATGCCAACGATTGTGAGGATGGTGCAGGACTGGGCATGTTTTATTGTATTGTACACAGGTTCACTATGAGTTGGAACCAACTCAACGGCACCTAACTGCAACAACAAAAAATATTTCGCCATAAAATGAACCAGAGTTCCTTGGAGAAAGGGCTGAGTGCAGGGCAGTAACTGAGAAAACTACAAAGTAAACTTGCAATAGCCAGTGTGATCAGAAACTATCAAAGGCTAATGGGACTAGGTTAAAAGGACAAGAGTACCAGCTTAAAGTAGTATCAGCTGGACTAAGATGGGATAATTTGAGCATCAAAAAGAAAATAACAACAATCTTTAATATATGTTTATATGTTAACAGCTATGATATAGTGATAGAGAGGAAAAAGTCATTCAAAGTAAACAATAAAATAGCAACTTTGCTGGAAAAGGAAAAACCTTTCTTCCCAGAGAATGCAAAACTCTTGTAAATCTTTTACTTATCTGCCTTTGGGATATCCGTAAGTGGAAAGTAGAAATTAACATGACCTACGGATGGTAATTTTAAAGCATAGAAAAATGAAAGACGTTGTCCAAAATCAGACAGTTGCAGCAAACCTGCAATGAGTCTCCAGGGTTCCTGATTTACATACCAAGTGGTTTCACTATACCCCAGGGCTTATAATGTACTGGCCCAGGGCAAAAGAGTGCAAAACACAAGCTGGGAAGCAAGAAGATGGCTCCACAATCACAAAGGTGGGAACCAGCATGCCCTGCTGTTGACGTTGTTGTTGCTGTTTGCCATCGAGTTGAACCTCACTCATAGCAACCCCTCCTTGGGTTTCCAAGGCAGTATCACTACAGAAATAGATCGTCCAACCTTCCTTCCTTCTGGTGGGTTTAAACCACCAGACTTCTGGTTAGCCTTAGGCACTATGCTACCAGAGCTCCCCTGCTGTTGACAACAGAAGGTATTCCAACACCCCAAGGGAACAGGGACAGCTCTGAGTTTGAACCCCTCCACCCAAAGCAGTGTTCCACAGCAGTGAGGAGGAGCCTGCAGAGCTGATGTCACTACACTAATAAACGAAGGCCCTCTGATCCAGAAATCCACTCTCCTTCTAAACACACACTAGTTAGGACTCTGCAGAGTAAATGGGAAAATAAAACGAATCTGACTCATCTAGGATAAGACAAAAAGGGAAGGCAAAAGATTCTTTTCCTAGTGGAGCCATGGACTCACTCTATGATCTCTGATCAATCTCCGTCCATGGACCTCAACTGGGCATAGAGAGGACAATCACTGAGTCAAAAACAACAGCAACTTCAAGCTACTACACACTCCCTACATAGCTGATACTGCTCCATGCTTTATCCACACTAAACACGTCAGCCCTCACTGGGAATGTATGGATCTTCATTACAGCCATGTATACCACAAAGGTTTGTGCACTTATTACACCTCTACAAGACCTTGGGGATAATAGTGGTATCAAGAGTGCATCAAAACAGAATAATGACCGCTGGTTTCCAGGCTTGAACCTCCTTCTGCCCCTCCTGTCACATATTGAAGTACCACCAACAGATACCTCTCTGCCCTAGTATCTCCAGGTGCGTGGGCCCAGGGGTGAAAGGCTGCCCTAACTGGTTTTAATCTCACTGCTTAGTGCCATTAGGTCTTCCACTAAGGGTCTTTCCAGGGAGGGTAACTGGCATATTCTCTAAGAATGTTCTTATGGAAAGTATGCATTCACTTGGTCATTTTAAAACATTTTTCTGTGAAGTGGGGCCCCACAGAAGCCCACTTGCTGCTTGCAGGACCAAATGCAATTTAGTGGGCAATGTTTCCACATCTGTAGTTCCAGTGTGTGCTGCGCTTATGATGAACACATCCCTGCCATGACTAAAGGGCTGCTCAGAACCACATCATCTCAGAATTTGGAGGGGCCACTGGCTAGCATATCATCTAACTGGCTTATTTTACAGATGGGAAAACTGAGTCCCCTGACAGGGGAAGCAACTTAGAATCATAAGCACTTAGAACTTGGGTAATTATGAGTGGTGCCAGGCCCTATGCCAGAAAGTTTCCATTCACAGTACACCTACTGCTTACAACTACCCTCTGATGTGGGAAAGACCAGTGCCACCATTACAGAGGGAGACATGGAAGCTCAAGGAAGGTGTTACGGGTTGAACCATGTCCTTCAAAAAGGTACGCTGAAGTCCTAACTCCTTAACCTATGAATGACATCTTGCTTGGAGAAATAGTTTTTCCTTGCAAATATTGTCAATTAACTTAATGAGATCATACCAGAGTAGGGTAGGTCCTAATCCCTTGAGTGGTATCTTATTAAAGGAGAAAACAGGCACCACACTAGAGTCACACACGGAGGAAGACACCATGTGAGGATCCATCTACAACCAAGGAATGCCAAGAAACACCTAGGACTACCAGAAGTTGGAAGAGATAAGGAAGGATCTTCCCCTAAAGCCAACAGAGAGAACATGGCATATCAATGCCCGAAATCTGGGCTTCTAGCCTCTGGAACTAAGATATAAACTTTCTGTTCTTTAAACCCACTCACACGCCATATTTGGTTATGGCAATACCAGGATACCAAGACAGAAGGTTAAGCACACAGCTGGTAACCCAGGTCTGTCTGCCACTAAAGCCTTTACTCTTTCCACTCTGCCTCGTACTGCCTCAAGGCACAGCCCCTCCACTCTGCTCTGTGTACAAGGGACCATTTCTTCCTAAATACCTACAGTGGTACAAAATGCATTGAAAAAGCATCCTATTCCTCAGAAGGTCTTTCTAAGGTTCCAGATAAAGACAAAGTAAAGATGACTCTGGGCCCTAACACAATAGCATAATACTTTCAGTTAGGTTCAAAGAAGAAAATGCTGCTTAAAGAAAATATTGAAGTAATACTTGGAAAAAAAAAACAAAAGGGACCAGGTTTTGTGGTCTGATACAGCCTGGTGGAACCCCTAGACTATGGCCCCAAGCTGGCCTTCAGGTGTGGAATTGAACACACTCCTGTGGCTTCCAGCCAAACAAAAGACAGGCATATGAGCTGAACATTTACATTAGGTGGATACACTCCTTGGAGACAGCAAGCATGGGAGAACAGAAGGAGGTAAGGACACAGGGAAGAGGTTACTATGGGGAGGAAGTGGGAGGGGAGCTGTTGCATTGTGGGAAACTGCAGTCAATGTCATGACACAAAGTGTATGTGAGTGGCTGTATGGAAGATGAATTTTCTCTGTAAACTTTTACCCAAATCACAGTAAAAATTAAAAAGAAATTAAAGTAAAACTTGGAAAGAAGTCCTAAAGCAGAAGGTAAAAATGTCTGATGGGGCAGGCACACTTCAAGGTAGCAAAGGCATCAGAGAGAAAAACGGGTGAGGAGACCTCACCTGGGTGAAGTACATCCTAGAGGAGTTGGAGCCCAGGAGCTTGCTCTCGATATGCTGCTGCACACGCTCCAAGATGCTGTCCTCATGCAGGAAGTGAACTTCATGCTTTGTGGGGTGCACATTGACATCCACATTCTGGGGGCTGATTTCTAAACTGGCAAGAAAAAAGCGAACAATTACCTTAGGTAGTGGTAGAAGGGGAAAAAACATCCACACATGGTAATATGTGGTAGCAAGGAGACTTGGAGAGACCACATGATACAGTGGCCAAAACCTCAAAATGAAATGTGAGAGACCGGATTTAAATATCAGCATTGCAACTAAGAGCTGAGTAGCTGTAGGAAAGTTATAGCATCTTCCTTTGCCTCAGTTTCCTTGCCTGTAAAGTAGAGAAAACAGCATTACCTATTTCATGGTTTATGGTGAGGATTAGATTCATGTTAAGTACTCTGCATGTACCTAGCACATTTATTGTATCAGCTAACGCAATAATTCTAAAACTAGAGGAATGTCTTATAACGTGACCTTATGCAAGTTACTTCTCTGTTTTCTCAGCTATATTGGAAGGGTAACCTTAAATCTGTCCCCTGCTTATTTTTCTGGATTATATAAAAATGAAAGAAAATAACATGTGAAAGAATTGTCTATTATTGAAATGTAATGCAAAAGTCAGTTAAGAGTCTGGACCAGTTATGGACGTATTGACTCTCAACTCCAAATCTTTCACTGCTGGTTCTGTGTAACAGAAGTTGGCAATGTCAAGCTTTGTCAGTAGAGGGTGCTGGAGGGACATCGAGGAGGAAGGAGATTCACTCCTCCAGACAGGTTCCTGAAAGTGTGCAGTTCTTGTGCAGTGACACACAACCAGCACCACACGGCACCTTCACTTTCCCTGTTACCTCAGGTGGCTCTGCAGGACAGTGCCACTAGTGGAGCACTTCATCAGCCTCTGCACCTTCCAAAGAGCCATAGCTGCATCCTCTTCAACAAGGTTTTGTTCCCAACTCTAGGAGTGAGGGGATGAGGTAGCTTCCCTGGGTCCTCTATCTCAGCCCTACGGGCAATGGGTGCTCCCTATTAGGTGCTATTTCTGTCTCTTCCTCTTACCAGCCAATCCCTCATTACTCTAATTTCTTTCTTTCTTTTTTTTTTTTTTTATTAGGATTTGGGTGAAGATTTACAGAGTAAATTCACTTTTCATACAGCAGTTCACATATACTTTGTCTCATGTCATTGACCAAAATTTACAATGCAGCAGCTTCCCTCCCACTTCCTCCCCATAGCTACCTCCTCCCAGTGTCCATCCCTTCATACTCTTCCGCACCCCGAGCTATCTCCCTCTGCATAAGCAGCCCTTCCTTCTCCCATGATTGTTCTCTCCAGGGCGTGCATCCACCTGAGGCAAATGTCCAACTCACATGCCTGTACCCTGTCTGGCTGGAAACCACAGTTGTGGGTTCAATTCCAGACCCGAAGGGCAACTAGGGGCCACAGTCTCAGTGGTTACACCAGGCTCCATTGGACCAGCAAACCTGGTCCCCACCTTCTTTTTTTTTTGGCCTCCAAACGATTTTGAGTTTTGTACCACATTGTTCCCTCTTTATGCAGGATCTCCTACATCCCTTCCAAGTGGATGGCAGTGGTAGCTGGGCACCATCTAGTTCTTCTGGTCTCATAGCCGCATAGGCTGCAGATCGGATGGTGTACCAGTCGCCAGGACTGATTGTTTCCATTAATTTTGCTTTTCTTCTTTCTTCTTGAAGAGGAGAGACCCATTGTTGCATCTAGATGGCAGCTTCCTAGCTTTTAAGGTCCCAGTCACTACTCGCCAAAGTAGTACGTGGAACAATGTTTTGTATAGTATGTTATGCCAATTGAGCTTGATGTCCCCTGCGACTATGGTCCCAAGCCCGCAGGATCAACCACTCGGTCCCTCTGGGTAGCTGGCTGTGACCAAGTAACGACCACAACCTTGCCCCTTGTCAGCTCCACCACACACCCGGGAATTCTGATCACTCACACGAACCTATAGGCCCATTGTCTGCCAACCCTACACATGATCCCGGATACACTCTCCATTTAGACATACCTAATTGTTTAGCTTGTTCACCCATCTATCCGTCCCTATACCCATGTTTGCTTTCACTGACAACTCAGTACTGTATATGCAAAGGGGTTCATATTTGTTGTCTGTACTGCCCATGTAACTCTCTATGTCTTTCTCATCCTCAATGCTGCCATATTGGTCACTCACATTTGGTACACTGCCCTTCTCTTCACCCAAATCAATATTTATCTCTATCTATCTAACAGCATTCCCTCCCCTCCCCTCCCACCCCTGGTAACCAACAAAGAAAATGTCCTCCAATATATAAACCTTTCCTTAACTTTTACAATAACGGACTAATACAATATTTGTCCTTTTGTGACTGACTTATTTCGCTCAGCATAATGTCCTCCAAGTTCATCCACGTTATGCGGTGTTTTGCAGATTCTACATTATTCTTTAGTGTTGCATAGTATTCCATTGTGTGAATGTACCAAAGTTTGGTTATCCATTCCTCAGTTGTTGGACATCTAGGTTGTTTCCAAGTTTTGGCTATTGTAAATAGTGCTGCGATGAACATCGGCGTGCATATATCTGTTCTTGTTATGGCTCTCACTTCTTTAGGGTATATACCTAGTAATGGGATGGCTGGGTCAAATGGTATTTGTATTTCCAACTTTTGAAGGAATCGCCATACTGCTTTCCACAATGGTTGTACCATTCATTACTCTAATTTCTGATACATAGCTCTTTATATTAACATTCCCCTGTTCAAATGACTGAATGTTTCTGTCTTCCAATTACAAGAGATGGAACAAGTAAAACCTTGACTACTTTATTATCTAGCAGAAAACATGAGGGATTCAACAATTCTACATTTAACCTGAAAACTACTTTTAACCCTAAAAACCTATTTTCATTCATCAAAGCTATAGATTAACTTTCTAATACACTAATTTCTATCCAAAGAGCAAAGGTTTCAGACATTTAAGACATTTTAGTATAACTCATGCTGTACACAAGTACAGCCCTGTTACCAAGTTATGCTGTGATATATACGCTTAGAATGTTAAATGGACAAGCTTCTGTGAGAGCCAGAACAATGAAATGAGATCCTCTATAAATCAGCTACTAGCCTAAGTTCCTTTAGGGTAGGGGAATCTCATATTTTATTCTTCAAACACCTAGTATGAGGTTGGCCTATATAATGCTCAAAATAAGACTGCTGAAATGTTCAACATCTTGGGTCAATCATCAGCTGGCTAGGCTAGCCAAGGAAAAATTTCTATTAAGTAGAAGACAATCTTTCACACAGGAAGGCAAGCTACCCCATTGTAGCTGTTTCAGCTTCCCAGGCTGACTCTCATGGCAGTAGTAATTCTCAGAGACTCTGGAGCACATTTCTGTCCCTGCACTGCTCACAAAATGTTGACACCACTAGACTGACTCCTGAAGGGCTGAGACACATCATTAACCTTTGTATCATCAACATAGCGCCTAACGTAGAAGAAGTGTCCAGTGAAGTTCTACTAAACAAGTGAACGAATGAAGGAAAATATTTTACCTGTGAGACGGGACAAACTATCCCTTCCCAGTGGTATATGGGGCTTATTGAGATTGACATATTGCAAGCACATTTCTTTCGAAGAAGAGAGCCTGGAAGAATTTCTGTTCCTTCTGAGTCCTGGATGAAGAATTTTTTTTGTGCTGCATTACCTGAGGTACAGGAATGGGTGCGTGTTTTTGGGCAAATATGCTGCATACACTGTTTCTATGGCTTTTCTCAAGGAAGCTGATTCTACCAGACGATCTAAAAAATAAACAGAAAATGATAAGCCCAAAATGTCCTGAAGGGTATGGTCGCAAGCACACACTGATACCATGCTCTGAAATCACCTCAGGAGAAAACCTTTGAAGTGACATCCACATCAGACCCTGCTGCTGCCCAAATAGGCCCCCAGATGGGAAGGGCCCCGAGTCTATGTTATGGCTTCCCAGCATCTCACTAGGGCTTGGGACTCTCTTCTCTTACCCAAGTAGCAGAAATATGACAGAGCAATACATTGTGCCTCCAATAGCCTTTCTCCTCCTTCAGCCCATGCTGACTGCCTTTGCCCTTACTAGGCACAAAGGGCAGCATGAAATCAGCTCTCAGATTTTTCATTTTGCAAACACTTACAGGCTACCCAGCACATGTGCCAATGCTGGGGGTCAACAGCTTGTGAATAAATGAATTCCAATCCCAAATGGTAGACACTAATATAAAGATGTGTGTGCTAAATAATGGAGCCAGGAGTTTCAACACCGGGTATCTCCAAATTGAATAATGAAGGTAATGAAGGATAAGAATAAGTTTTTCAGGCATTTTGGGAAGTACAGATGTCTACATGTGTGTTGAAGGTAATTCAGGAAACTGGGCAAAGTTGGAGGAGGTGAGAAACAGTAAGTTCTTTAGGTGAGATAAGATGAAGGTTGAAGAAGGCATGTTTTTCAAGAAACACAGCTCTCCTTTCTCCCCCAACAGATTTTAGATGATCTGTTGTCCCATCTTATTAAAGTAAAGAAACAGCCACATCCGTTAATTTCCAACGAGTCGAGTAGCTGTGATGTGATTGAGGCAACTATTATTCTTTGAATGCTCACCACACCCACAGCCCCTTCAATAAGTGTCATATTTCATTAACACCTGTCCTGACTCCATTAGGTTTAGGACAGGAATGGGCATCTGCTGAAAGGACACCTAGAGCCCTTGTGCTGAGATTTCTGACATGTCAGAAACGTCAGAGGACATGCCAGGGGAATGCTCTGAGTGAGGCTACACAGGGTGTATATTACTAAATAACATGCTCAAGAGTTTGACCTCTTACCTTGAAAACATTATGCTAAGCAAATAGGTCAATTGCAAAAGGACAAATACTGTATGATTTCACTTACATGAAATAAGCAAATATATAGAAAACAAAGATTATTAGTGGTAACCAGATAGGATATGGAGGGGAACATGGAGAGTTTTTGCTTAGAGGACGCGGAGTTTATGTTAATGGTGGTGGAATAATTCTAAAAAGGATTGTGACAATGGTAGCACAACATGAAAAATTTACCAATGCCGCTAAATTATACATGTAGAAATGATTGGATTGGTAAAGTTTTGTTGTGTATACTTCCACCACAATAAAAATTTAAAAAAGAAAAAGTCTCATCTTTCTTTGCTACTGGCAACCTAGTATCGCAGACAGATTAGCTTAAAAGCAGAGACATGGGGTCTGCCCATCAAACGGCATTTATACTGATTTTTGCTTGTCTACTCTTTAGTCAACACATGTGTTACAAAGCAGCTATCATTTATTCTTCATAGTTAGGGAAAAAAACAATAAACACATTTTCTAAGGCTTGATTAAAGCAAGCTTTGTTATATGTCAAGCTTAACTCCTTTCTAGTAAAGGAGATTAAAAAAAACCAAAAGCCTGCTAATATGAATCATTTGAACAGAGTATTTATAAAATGACTGGCTCTCCTCTGTTTTTGTTTGAATAATTGCTGTAACACATGCCTAATTTAAGACATAAATGGAAAGCTGAATTTACTGCTATAAAGGCACAAGTGGAATAGCAAACAAATAAAACAAAAATAAGGAAACTATAAAATAATTATGAATTGTTTTAAACAATAAAGGTCAGGGACCTGTATGATAAAACTGAACAAACAAAAAGCTGCACCTTGTTTCTGGATGGGAGAATGAAAAATCTAGTCAGACGATTTGGGGATTGATTATTTGTTGTTGTTCGATCATTATCTCTGGAAAGCTTGTAATACGCAATTCAGTGAAAACAAGCAGAATGCAAAATAGTATTCACTTAGTAAGTAGCAATCATGCAAACAACATGCCAGCAGAGAAAGAAAGACTGGAGAGGAATCTGAGACAAATCCAAGTTAATTTCCTTCCTGATCTCTACTTCTGCTGTTTGTATAATAACTTTCATTCTTCAAAGAGAAAAATCTCAAGCAGCTTAGTGTCCAATTTCTTTACTTTAATGACACTGTCTGTACCCCTGGTGTCCCTCTGTGTCTTGCTATGCAGTTTCACCTATGAACCTTTAAGTAAGATGAGAACAAAGCCCTGCCCAGGGCTGGCTCCAATGCCAGTCAGTGAGGAAGGTGTGCCGGCTCACAGGGGCCTGTGATGCCCTCTCTGGGTTCCCTCTTGGAGGAGAGAACCAGACACTGCAACAGTCAGCAATGAGCACGCCACAGAGGGCAGAGCACAAACTTAGGCCAAAAGTTATGTTTCCTAATCAAACGACACTTTGCACAAGGTTCCCCCACTCCTTGGAAGGAAGGTTGGGCAATCTACTTCCGTAGTGATACTGCCTTGGAAACCCAAGGAGGGATCGCTATGAGTTGGGGCCGACTCGACGGCACATAACAACAACACCCAAATGTAATCACACCTGGGGACTAGGAATTTTCCCATGCTCCTAAAATATCCTTTGTGGATGGATTTCCCCACTTGGCCCTTTTCACTTACGGTTGATGAAGAGTAAGAAGATGCATTTCTTCACTGAGTAGTTTGCATTGGATATGTAGCCATTCATTTTGAAGGCTAGGGTTTTATCCTCACACTCAACTTCTATTAATTCTCTAGTGAGAAAAGAAATATTTTGAGACTTTTGAAAACACTGGGAAAAGCAAACATCATAAAAGAATCAGTGTTAGAAAATATAGGGCTCCTCTTCATAAACTAACAGCCAAATAAGAACTCCAGAGACACTGCTTATTGAGGGCTCCTGGGCCTGCCATCTAGCCATCTACCCATCCATCCTTGCCTCACCTACCCACTCAGCCAGTCAATGTTTCAAGCACCTATGCTATCGGCCAGGCACTTCCTGAATTGCTGGGATATAACTGCAAGTCCAAGTTCTGGGTCCTTATTTTACTGATAGTTAGTATCTTAGTAATCTAAACCAAAGATAAAGTCCTAAGAAGAATTCACCTCTCCTGAATTCCTTACTGAATAGCACCATAAATGTCCCCCAGTGTGCATATTTCTTGGATAAGGGAGATAAACAGATGGCTCTCAGAAAAACCACACTTCTTCCTGCTTTAGGGGCTCCCCAAGTGCTGGTCCCTCTGCCTGGAAAGCCCTCCTCCTAATCCATATTCGGCTAAGTATTTCCTGCTTGTCCTTCATATTTCAAGGATTATATCCTCAAATGAGCTTCGCTGACTATTCTCCTCACTGACCCCAACAGATTCTTCCACTGTGCCCTATGTTTTTCCTTTGAAGCATCTCACAGAATCAGCTAACAAATGGCGTAATTATTTAAGGTGTCTTTCTAACTAGAATATAAGTTCTCTGAGGGTAGGAATCATTTCTTTGTCCACTACTATATCCCTATCATATAAATAGCACAGCGCCTGGTGATGAACAAGCACTCAGCAACATTTGCTGAATGGATTGTGGTAGCTTTCCAAGCAGTGATGTGTGCTGCAATCTCCAAGTGGAGGGTATGGTTTGCAGGGTTCCCCATATACACTGATCCACCAAACCTTTCTTCCCAAAGCATCTGAAGAGGTCAGTGTTCTGAAAACACACTTTGAGAAATGCTGCACCAAGGTATTTCTAAACTCTTCCAGTCCCTAGGAATTTCTTAGCAAGTAATTCTAAGACTTACTAAATTGAATGGAGAAGCTCCTCAGTCACACTGTAGAATAAAGCTCTCCCTTTGCTCTGGGGGCATGGTAAAAAAATAATCCATTAACACTTAATTAGAAAGAAAGTGTAATTACAAGAAAACTGGCTGTTCCCCAATGAGACTTGGTTTTGCTTAAAGGAATGAACATGCTGTCCTTCAAAGTAGAGGATGGGTTCTGGGACTCTGGGTGCTGCCTTCAAGAGTTTTGGGAAATGGGACCATTCGCAGATGACAGAATTCTGGTAGACTAGAAATATTTTGAAGACAAAGACCTAGAGAGAACATACTGGTTTACAGGCCCCAGAGCCTCTAGGGGATAACAATCACCGAGACAGAATAAAGATTCCATTAACAAACCTGAAGCAAGACAGTAAACCTGCATATTTGATTAAAGCAAAATCTTAAAGCAGGTGCTATCTTGACAGATTCCAAAATAATCCAATGAAATGATGAATCAAGACATGGAATGCAAAAGATTTTTTGCAAAGGTCATCAACATACCGACTAACAGCATTTCCAAAGATGGAGCGAATGTTGTCCACAGTTGTGGCATTGGGCAGTGTTCTAACATCAGCCACTGTCTCACCTTGCTGATAAACAGAAGATACTATGGCTTATAATCTCACAGTTGTGATCAGAACATCATAACTTCATCTCCACAGAAAAATTCTAATATCTCCTTTTTTCTTTTCATAACACATAACCATTCCCTATAAAGCAAGAACTTACTTTTTTAACTGAGAAACTAATGCCTGAATTGTGTATTGAATACCTGGATGAGGAAAAGGAAAAAAAAAACAGTAAGTAGAGAATGGCCAAATGAACAATATATGTGCAACCCTTTCTAGTTAGATAAACTGGTAGTTGAGTGATTTAAGCACAGATACATACAAACAAAAGTATCTTGATCTATCAAATTCTAACCATTGGAAAATAACCAGGAGAGACTTCACAGAGATAATGCTAAACATGACTGAATCGAACAAACAAAAGGGTTCTTTTTTTGCTTTTATGGGTTGATGACTGTTGTTGTTGTTGTTGTTATGTGCCATCGAGTCGGACTCGACTCATAGCGACCCCTCCTTGGGTTTCCGAGGTAGTATCACTATGGAAGTAGATTGCCCAACCTTCCTTCCAAGGAGTGGCTGGTGTGTTGATAACTAGACTCTGGAATATCTCAACATAATCTTACTTGTCCTGGGTTGTCTCAAGGACATCTTGAGAACCTACCTTTACCCATCCTTGCACCTCTTTTATGCTCTCTCAGAGCACACAGTACACTCTTCGTACTCTCCCACTCCTTTACCCCCAGGTCCTGTTCCAGCATTTCCCAGCCTTTTTTTGATGGCCATTGTTATTACTCCTCCTTCCATGGATCCCATGAACTGAAGGATTGTATCTGGCAAAATGCATCTATTCATTAACAATAATGTTTCACTTTATCACACCTAGAACCGTAAAAGCCAAGCAGAACTCCTTATTTTCAGAAGATAATGAATATTCCCCACTGACATATACAATTTTAATAAAACGTAAAGAAACCTGATGCATAAACTTATGCCACTTTATTACAGGCAAATGTTTGATTCACATTAGATCTTTTGGAAATACTGAAAAATAGGCAGTACATCCCTGTTAGAATGCAAGGACCATCCATCTGGAGCTGCTGTACTAGCAGCTTGTCTGTTGTGGACATAATGTTTTCACCTGTCCTAAACCCCTTCCCTGTTTATCAGCTAATATTCCTTTGGAAACTACCTTGCCTCCATTCCACTTGATGCTCCTTTAGTAAGATGGTCAGTTAACAGGTTTCCTCCCCACAAAAATGGGCACATGACTGTATGACTCAAGCTATGGCAACCAGAAGCACTTTCCTAGGAAATAGATTCTTGAGCAAATTAGGAAAAAATGGTAACAATTGGAGCTGGGTACTACATTAAATCCCTGGAGCCATCTGGTTCCCGCATTCCCCAAGGAGCTATTCACGTCTCCTTTCACTTGGAGATAACTCCTAGCCTTCCAATAAATTCTTTCCGGATTCAAGTAGCTAGAGTTCATTTAGGAGCTCTGGTGGCTCACTGCCTAAGGCATCTGGCTGCTAACCAGAAGGTTGGCAGTTCAAACCCACCAGCTGCTCCACAGAAGGAAGATGGGACAGTTACTTCTGTAAATATTTACTGCCTTGGAGACCCAATGGGCGTCACTATGAGTCAGAATCAACTCAATGGCAGTGAGATTTTTTTTTAGTATCCATTTGCTTCACTTGCCACCAAAGAACACTCACTGATAAAGAGACCAAATGCTCTTCCCTGGGGACAAGAGAAAACGTCAATTGGTGACTAAACTTTGACCAGAAACAACACATAGGCTACTATTTATTAGTGTTCCCCACCTAGCTCAGCAACTACTCTCAATTCACAAGCACAGGAACACATTCCTTTTAAGAAATTTTAAGGAACCACTCCCAGGAATGTACCTGCCAACAACTTCCAAAATTTTCCCATACTCTTCACTTGGATTTTTCAAAGCTTTCCTTCTCGTGGCTATGTTGTAAAAAAGGTCCTCCACCTGTACAGAAGAGTAATTTTTCTTGTAAATTCATCGACATAAATGGAAGTAAAGACCCAAACTGTTCCACCTAAAGCTAGGTCTTAAGGCAATGAAAGAATCTAATTATATTTACCAAGAGCACAGTTCTAAGCACTTACGAGGAAGGGGCAATAGATAGAGCAGCATTAACAATGGAGTAAAGGATATTTTTCCTGCCTCCAACATTCATTCATTTATTCATTGCTCAAATACTTACTGAGGATTATGTCTATGTCAGGAGTCCCTGGGTAGCACAATTAAGCACTCAACTACTAACCGCAAGGTTGGTGGTACAAACCTACCGAGAGGCACCTCGGAAGAGGCCTATCGATCTACTTCCAAAAGGTCAGAGGCACTGAAAACGTTATGGAATACAGCTGTTCTCTGAAACACACAGGGCTGTCGTGAGCTGGAATCAACTCAACAGCACATCTCCATGTCAAGCTCTATGCTTTGTGCTGGGAATTAAAAGCTCTTGCCAAAGAGAGTATAAAATTTAAGGAGGTAAACATTTAAATTTCTGATTATAATATCACATGGCATTCAAAGATATTTTTCAAATCAAGACTATAAAATTTCTGAGGTGATTTGGTTTCCTTGGAAATTGTACTGTAGTCAGCCTGATACAAGATCCTTCTTAACCCACCACGTGAAGCACAGATTAATTTCTGCCTCATGCCTGTCTCATCAAGAAGGAGATGACCAAGGTAGAAATGCCTTCCAGGAGGTGTGCTCTGCTGAGGGTACTGGGGGGGGGGATGGGATGCATAACATGACAGCAAGGTGTTCTGTGGATCACAGAATGGGAAGAGGCAAAATGTGGCACCACCGAAATAAGGTAGTATGATAAACTTCCTCCCTATTAATGATACAATCATTTAACTTCCCAAATAGCCTTTGAGGAAGGTGAGTGGCTGTTCTTTGCTGCATGCAACAGCTGAGCAAATCTACTGAAGTCAAAGGAAAACAACTGACTTGCCTCCGGATGTACAACCTTGTTGAGTGGCAAGGCTGGGACTCTTATCTACATCTTCTACAGCCAAGCTGAATGTCCATTCAATGCCAACAACCCTGTACTGATTTGTGCACCCCCCAATAAAAGAATCTCCCAGATCCTTAAAAATGAATGAGGGAGTGGACAGGCTGCCATGTCGCAAAAGCCAGAAGTCATTTCTCTTGCTTAGAAGGTGACATCTTGGCGCTTCTATTAACCAGTATGTAACAACTCATTTTATTATTACCCTGAAAATTCAGAGACAATTTTATTTCTTATTTCAATATTTATACAAAGCTCTTTTTCAAAGACTTGCACACTCATGTATCATTCTTACCATGATCTGGGTCCCCTGATTGCCTGCACATGGTTTAGGAGGAGCTTTCAGCTTCCCATCTGAGTAACTTGCTCTGACCAGAAAACATAAGAGATTATTGATATTCAATAGAAACACAGATACTTATCCAAATGGTAAGAAATAAATACCAACAAAAGATTAAAATATACCCATGTTATACTGTCTTGATTACTTACCATTTTTGCCTGTATTTTTCAACTAATACCATAATTTTCATTCTTAACTGTACACACAAAAATTCTTATTCTTTCCTTACTGCTGAAAATAAAAAAAATCCCTGTCGTTGAGTCAACTGCGACTCATAGCAACCCCTCCTTGGGTTTCCAAGGCGGTATCTCTATAGAAGTAGATTGCCCAACCTTCCTTCTGAGGAGTGACTGGTGGGTTTGAACTGCCAGCCTTCTGGTTATATGTCAAATGCCTTAGGCACTATGCCACCAGAGCTGCTACCTTACTGCTAGCAAATGTTACTTTTAATTTCTGAGTTCCGAGCTCCCAAACAATAGACTTACCATTGCCTAAGATAATAGTAAAAAACTTTTTTCAGTGTTTCTGTAATAATTTATTGAGGAGCTACCATGTCTCAGGCCTGTGGAAGCCTGATAATAAAGACAGACTTGGAGAAACAATCAGTCCAAAGGACTAATGGACCATGTGAACCACAGCCTCCACTACCCTGAGACCAGAAGAACTAGATAGTGCCTGGCTGCCACTACCAACCACTCTGATCAGGATCATAATAAAAAGTCCTGGGCAGAGAGGGAGAAAAAAAATGTGGAACAAAATTCAAAATCATAAAAAAGACCAGGCTTACTGGTCTGATAGAGACAGCTGTATCCCCAAGACTGTGGGCCTTAGACACTCTTCATGCCTGGAACTGAACTCATCCCTGGGGATCAACTTTCAGCCAAACAACAGACAAGTATATAAAGTGAATAATACTATCAGGGAAGAATGTACTCCCCAGTACAATCAACCATATGAGACCACAAGGGCAGCATTTGCCCAGAAACAAAGTTCAGGACAAAGGCAGGGGGAGGAAAGAAAGATGAATGGAAACGGGGAAACCAAGGAGGAAGCAAGGTTGGGCAATCTACTTCCGTAGTGATATGGCCTCGGAAACCCAAAGAGGGGTTGCTACGAGTTGGGTCCAACTCAACGGCAGTGAGTTTGGGTTTTTTTTGGTAAGAAGGAAGTGGGAACAGTGCTTTTGAGGGGATTGCAACCAATGTCATGGGGAGAAAAAAAAAGGTGTATATATTGTTGAATGGAAAACTAATATGCTTTGTAAATTTTCACCCAAACTGAAATTATTAAAAAAAAAAAAAAACTCAACCAAAAAAAACAAAGTAAAAGAAAGGCCCTGCCAAGCTCTTGATCTAGTGAGAACAAAGACTTTTACCTAAAATATAGGACAATGTGCTAAGTAATCAAAAAAAAAGGGGGAAACATTCAGCCTAATGTAGGAGAAAGCTTAATTCATCTGGGCATTAGGGAAGAAGTGTTTCAGATGGAGAGACCAGGAAAAAGCATCCAGGAAGGCAAACACCAGGACAGAAGCACAGATGCTCTGGAACATATGACAGCTGTGAATCTATGGAGAGAAGTGGCTGGAAAGGTGGACTGGAAGCACACTGGGCGGGCCCTGAATGCCGGGATGATGACTCTGGATTTCATGCAACCAAGGATGGCAGGGGAGCCACCAAAGATTCAAAGCAGGGATGGGACATGACCTCAGGGGGGAAGAAACTCAAGTTGTGTTACAGGCTGTATAAGATGATGTTAATTCCTCCCAAAATGTGAAAGAATAAATTTCTGTTATTTTAAGCTACCCACTGTGGGGTTAACTTGTAACAGCAACCACAGGAAGCTGATACAGGTAGCATGAGGAGAGATCCATGTGGTGATGTTACAGTTACATGTATCTTGACTGCAGTGATAGATACATCACTGTGATAAAATGATCACATGATAAAACATGATAAAATGATACGAAACTATACACACACATTATACCAGTATCAATTTCCTTGTTTTGACAGTATAATTATGAAAAATTTAGTTTTCCTTTGGAGGAAACTGGGTGAAGAGTACACAGGTCCTCCCTACACTATTTTTGTAAATTCTGTGACTCTGTATTTACCTCAAAATAAAAACCTAAAAATATATAGGTTTAAAAAAAAAAGATGTTAACTTACAACTGTCTCCCCAGTTTGCGAGAGGGGATTCTAACTTATCAGTTCACCCAGATCCCAGGGCGATTATAATTCACACTGCATGCTCAGAAATGCTCCACTTTCATAAACTCACAGTCTGTCTGCTGTAAAAGACTGAGAAACTGGCAGAACTGCCCTTAGTTGAAGCAATTTTCTGTCTTAATTAACAAACAATCTGTATGATAAGAAAATACATTTCTCATTTTGGGCATGAATTGTACTCCTGGCCAGTACTTATAAAACTGAAGGTTTGTTTTCATTTCTTAAATCCTATTTTTCATTCCATTCCAAAGTCATTCATCAGCCTCTGAAAATGTGCCAGCCCAAGAGACAGCCAGTAATCTCCTATGGGAAGGCAAGCCAGGACAGACATGCATATGGGGCAGGGTGCTGGTGGTTTAGAAGTCAGCAAAGGGACTGTGGCCCTTGGCACCCCAGCGACAGGGCCTATAATCAGCCCAGAGCAATACCCTAATGAAGGGCAAAGGCGCAGAAAGAACAGCAGCAGCTACCGTTTACTGAGAACACTCGAATGTAACAGATGCCTGGCAAGGTGCTATAATATGTGCAAAGTTACCTTTTAAGATCCATGAAGACTATTAGTAGATAAGCAACAGGGAGGATTATCTTACCTAAGATCTCAGCCCAAAGAGAAAAAACTGGTGTTCTGACAGGATTACTTTGAGATCCAGGAGGAAAGCACATTTCAGGTTAAATATATAAGAATAAAAAGGTCAGCATAATACCTGTATGCGCACTTTCCATCAGCTGTTTTGGTTGTAATTGTAACGTGAGCCACATGGCTTATGCTGGCCAAAGCCTAAAGGAAAAATAAATAAATAAATGGCTTAAAAGAACTCATTGCTAGGTCACTTGCTGCCACTTCATTAAAGGTAAAGGTTATCTGCATTGCCTCTTCCATTCTGTGTTAACATGAGGTGACAATGAGTACTTTGCTCACTTTTGATAACGTGTGGTTCTCCAAATTTTTTCTCATAAAGTTTAATTTCAGATAAGTCCTACTATTGTTTCCAAACCACTTACCCCAGTCCTGCCCTAGAAAAAAGAATAAAAGCATGCAGCTTGACTTTAGGCTGCTGCTTTGCACCAACTTCTGAAAAGGTGAACAATTTCAATGCTTTATGGATCAAGATAAAGGAAATATATATTTTCTTACCTCCTTTCAGACTTCAGAATAAAACCATTATTTCCTCTGGAGTCAAATCCAAACTCCAAAACTATAGATATTTTATCATTCAAATATAAACATTTCAGAGTCAAATATAAATGGTATAGTTATTCTTTTAGGCAATATTTTTAATAACAAAAAATAATGGGAAAAAAAAAAAAAAACTGGAAACAACCTATGTGCCTTATAAGCATTTACAACTAGAAACAGTTAAGTAAACAATGGTATATACACAAACACACCTTTATTCAGTATTGTATATGCAACTATTTACCTATCATTTCCAACCTGGTACATCTAAAGCTGGATCCCAATTTCCTACCCCTAACATTTCTCCTTCTGCAGTCTTCCCTATCACAATAAACAGAATCCATCTTTCCAACTGTCCAAACCAAACAAACATCACACTTGACACCTCTGTTCCCATACATGCACCACCAGCAAATCCTATAAAATTTCTCTTCACTATATATCCAGAATCCAACTATTTCTTGGCATTTTCACTGCTACTATCCTGGCATAAGGCACCATCACCACTCACCTGGATTACTCCAACAGCTCCATAACTGGTCCCCTTGCTTCAATCTTTGCTTCTTCCATTCTAATCTGTATACCAGCTAGAGTGATCCTTTTTTAAATGAAGTCTGTCCATGCCAAAGTCCTTCCCATGGCCTGAGATGTGACATGCTCTGCCCTCCTTCTACAATACTAGCCTGATGTCCTACCACTCTTAACCAACCATTCCAGCCTCAATGGCCTTACTGTTGACCCATAAAAACATGGCAAGCACATTCTCACCTCAAAGTCTTTGTGCCTGCTGGTCCCTTTACATGGAATGTGTTTCTCCCCAGATATTCACTTATCATACAAATTCATTATTAGCTTCTTGTTGTTGTTGTTATGTGCCATTGAGTCGGACCTGACTCATAGCGACCCCTCCTTGGGTTTCCAAGGCAGTATCACTATGGAAGTAGGTTGCCCAACCTTCCTTCCGAGGAGTGGCTGGTAGTTTGAACTGCCAGCCTTCTGGTTAGCAGTCAAGTGCCTCAGGCACTATGCTACCAGAGCTGCCCATTATTAGCTTATCTGTGAGGTTTTCACAGACTAACTTATTTGAAATTACAGCCCCTACCCATTCCTGAAATCTCTAACTCTTTCTTAACGAGCTTTAATTTTCTCCACAGGACTAACTACACAGTCACTTATTTACATCCATTAGCCTGTAGGCTTCAAATTTCACTCCACAGACACTATGGGAAAAGAGATCCAATAGATCTACATCTCAGGACCGCAGTACTGGGGGACACCAGACTCAATTGGCACAACAAAATACATAAAGCCTTGTTCTGCATCCTACACTGTTGAGTAGTGACAGAGGTCTCAAAATCTTTCAAGCGGCCATCTAAGATGCAGCTAATGGTCTCCTAGTGTTGGAAGCAAAGAAGAGTACAAAAAACCAAGGGTATTTAGAAGCAATCAGCCCTAGGACACTGTGGCCCTCAAGACCAGATTGTGCCTGGTTACCAATGCCAACCACTCAGGAAAGGATCAAATCTGGAGATCCTGGACAGAGTGGGAGGAAAAATGTGGAACAAAATCCAAAAACTCAGTAATGACCAGAATTACTGGTCAGATGGAGTCTGATGAGACCCCCAATACTATGCCCTGGAATACATTCTGTACCTGGAATAAAATTCACTCCCGGGGCGGGCTCTCAGCCCAACAGTTAACAAGATGTACCTGAAGACCACTCAACCCAGCATGATGCACCCACATACTCTGGTAATATATCCCTTAGAGCAATACACCATGGGGCACCAGAGGGGCAACTTTCACAATGAAGAAATGCAGAACAAACAGGAGTGCATAACTATGAGGGGCACAGGGGGAGGGACTGGGCAGGGAGGGGAGGAGACTGGGTTAGGGTTGGCATGGTAAATGGGGAGTGAAACTAAATATACACATAACATTGAATGCAAAACAAACTCAAAATTAAAAAAAAAAATTTATTCCACAGCACTTTTTATTCATTTACACCCATTAGCATATAAACATCATGAGAGTAGTTTTTATGTGGTTTAGAATGTATTTGTAAAATCCCATAGACATTTGTTGTTGTCAGGCGCAGTCAGGTTGGTTCTGACCCACAATGACCTCATGTCCAACAGAACAAAACACTGCTCACCCCTGTACCATCCTCACAATTGTTGCTATGCCTGAGCCCAATGTTGCAGCCACCGTGTCAATTCGTCTCATTAGGGTCTTCCTCTTTTTTGCTGGCCCTTTAGTTTACGGAGCACAGTTATCTTTCTCCAGGGACTGGTCCCTCCTGATAACAGAACCAAGCGCAAGAGATGAAATCTCACCACACTCGCTCCTGAGAAACATTCTGGCTGTACATCTTCCAAGAAAGATTTGTTAGATCTTCTGGCAGTTTATGGTATATTGAATATTCTTCACCAACACCATAATTCAAAGGCATCAATTCTTCATTCCTTATTATTCACTGTCCAGTTTTCACATGCATACGAGGTGACAAAATACCATGGCTTGGGTCAGGTGCACCTTAGTCTTCAAAGTGACATCTTTGTGCTTCAACAGTTTAAAGAGTCTTTTGCAGCAGATTTGCTCAGTAAAATACATTTCATTTCTTGACTGTTATTTCCATGGGCACTGATTATGGATCCAAATAAAATGAAGTCCTTGACAACTTCAATATTTTCTGTTTATCATGATGATGTTTATTGGTCCAGTTGTGAGGATTTTTTTTTTTCCTTCATGTTGAGGTGTAATCCACACTGAAGGCCTTTGATTTTCTTCATTATTTTATGTCCTCTTCCCTTTTGCAAGGTTGTGTCATCTGCATGTATCACAGGCTGTTAATGAGTATTCCTCCAATCCTAATGCCATGCTTTTCTTCATATAGCATGGCTTCTCAGATTATTTGTTCAGCATACATATTTAATAATGTATGCTGAACAAATAAAGCTGATGCACAGCTTTCCTGATTTAAACCATGTCGTATCCCCTTGTTGTGTGCTGTCACTCAAAACTATTTTAGATGAGCAATTATGTGTTTAGAAATGTTAAGTTTTAAATTACGTAATTAAGTGAAAACAAATACAAACAAAACAAAACCCATGACTATTTCTTTTCCCTTTTAACAAAGACTGGTTTCCTAGCCATCTGCTATCTGTGTCTTCTTTTACAAGAAAGACATCAGAATTTGTAAAAATGCAACCCAGGAACCAACACTCAGTTGACAAGTGAGCACAGCCACTGCAGGTTCAATTCATTAATAAAGAACATGGCTTCAGACCCAGGGATTATCAATTCATAGCTGGATTATCATAGTTTATAATATTGGGCTAATTTTCATCATTAAAAAATGTAAATGATAATTAATTCTATTAAACAAAAATAACCCTGATACCAAAACCAAACAATTACAGGCCAGTATCTTTATGAATATAGATATAAAAATCCTCAACAAAATACTAGCAAACAGAATCTAACTGCATATTAAGAGTCTATTAAGAGTCATACACCATGACCAAGTGGGATTTGTCCCACAAATGCGGGGATGGTTTGACATTAGAAAATCAATCAATGAAATACCAACCACATGAATAGAACAAAGGAAAGAACCACATGAAAAGACAACAGCCAACATTATTCTTTCCTCCTATAATTTTAAATGGAAAGATGTTCCATGTTCATGGATTAGAAGACTTAATACTGTTAAGCTATCAATACTACCCAAAGTGAACAAAACAAGGGGTGCTCTCACCACTTCTATTTAATATTGTATTAGAAGACTGACCCAGAGCAGTAAGACAAGAAAAAGAAATAGAAGATTGGAAAAGAAGTAAAATTATCTCTACGCACAGATGTTATGATATCGAAAATACCAAAGAGTCCACAAGAAAACTTCTAGAGCTAATAGAGGAAATTAGCAAAATTAGAGAGTGCTAGGTCAACAAACAAAAATCAGTTAGGTTTCTCTACACCAGGAATGAGAAATCTGAAAGGAAATTAGGGAAACAATTCCATTTACAATAGCATCTAATAGAATAAAATATTTAGGAATAAATCTAACCAGGAATGTGTAGGACTTACCAATGAAAACTCTAAAACACTGCTGAAAGAGATTAAAGAAGACTTAAATGGAAAGATGGTCCATGTTCATGGACTGGAAGACTTAATATTGTTAATATTAAGTTAATACTACCCAAAGTAATCTATATTCAATGCAATACCAATCAAAATTTCAACAGCCTTCTTTAATCTTCAACTTTATAAGCAATGGCAAGAGGTCCTGAATAGCTAAAGATATGTTGAAAGAGATGAACAAAATAGGATTTACACTTTCTGATTTTAAAACATACTATAAAACTTCAGTATTCAAAATAGCTTGTTATTATAATGATATATATACCAATGTAATAGAATTGACAGTCCAGAAATAAACTCACACAGCTGTGGCCAACTGATTTTTGACAAAGGTCCATTCAATGGGGAAAGAAATCTCTTCAATAAATGGTGCTGAGAAAATTGTATTTCCACATGTAGAAAAATGAAACAGGATCCATGTCTCACACCACACACAAATGTGAAAAGACAAGCTATCA